AAAGCATTTGCCGTTGTCTTTGGGATGCGGCACGCATTCTACTTCCATTTGTACATTCGCAGTGGCGTTTGAATGCGATGTGGCCTATACAATGACTTGCGGGGGCCAGCCGATGTACAAGTCAGTGTTTTTATCCTCCCAGACAAGTCTGGTACCAATTAACCGACCCCGGAGGGATGGAAGGCTTGGTTGGCCCGGGCGACTCACGACCCAGGATTTGATCCCCGGACCGCTCGCGTGGTGAGCGTGCCACTTGCCACTACACCACTTCCGCCCTCAAGCACAACGTACGGTTTTCCGAAAACATTCTGTCGCCTACAAGTTCATGTATTTACTGTTCAAAATTCACGATTATTAGGTGATGCGAGGGCGCCCACAAAATCGCGCTGGTCCCACACGGCCAAAAATTCCAAAACGCACGATCTCGTCAACGTGTTAATTTGAGCAGCTTTGAAACTTTTTTTGGTATCACCAAACAGAGCTGATTTCTTTCTGGATGCATACGATGTGCTGCAGCTATTTGTTTTTCAGAAACTTCTCAAATATTCCCACAACGAAGAAGATCGCACTGAACTGCAGGTTATTTCCAGTCATTCCTTTAGCTGTAATGGTCAACTTTACGTAATCTACTGCTCTGTATGTCGCTAGATTTCAGAACTCGAAGTTGTACTTGACGACAGTTGGGAATCAACTCGAGCAGACGATTGATCACAATGATTTGACGATGATCAAGAATAGATCGTGAGTTGCAGTAGTTCGTTCTTGAATTGCTTCCTTTGTAACAAATGTCGGCCTTTCTTGAAGAGCCAGGTGAACCTACATATTTCAGGGAGCTTTTCAATAGATACGACTCAAGGATTTCACAGCTTAGTCGATTGCAAGAAATTCAGAGGAGTATAGAAGGATTTGAAGGAAATCCTATTGGAAAGACATGCTCCGAGCTAATAAAACGTGAGCAAAAGTATCGTTTTGATACAAACAAAATTTCTATACTCTTTTCTGTTGCCTTCTTTTATTAGATGAATTGGCGCATGACGCAAAAGTTGAAGCTAAAACTTGCCACTCATCTCGGTCAACTGTTTTTGAAAAGTTTGTCAATATTCAGAAGGAGATCTGCAAATGGTTCGACCTTCACTAACATTTTCCCCGGAGATAATCAGAAAAGGGCGATGGAAGACTGAAAGGTAAGAAAATTAAGAGATTGGTCAAAATAAAAGATGTAAGGAGAAGTGTGCAACGTTGATCGGTGCCAAAAGGAAAAAGAAGAATAGTAATTACCTAATTACCCGTTGTAACGCTGCTGAGTACGCCCGTAATGGCTTGACAGGGCCTTTTCCGTTGCGTTGAATGCTCTTCGCGGCTGTCCACGCCCACCGATTGGCCCCCGTCGCCGTTGGACTCTAGCAGCGATCTCTAGCCATTATGGTAGGAGGCAGAGATTCACGTTGATAACCTCACTAGCGATGGACTCGCCCCAACACTGAAATCAGCGGGGACCAAGGGCGTCCTCTGCTGGGTTCCAGGCCAATTCCTCTAGTTTTTTTTCACAGCTGTACCTATAAGGGCTCTTCTTTCTTTCCCAGCGGGCGCCAGTTCATCGGAACACTTTCGGGTTCGTACTTTCGGGTTCAACCACAGAGACGCAACAGTGAGCAACCGTGATGAGAAGAGTGTTTTCGAATAAAATGGATAAAAAAAACTAAAGAAGGACCTAAGGACTGTTGTCAAGACATGGCTTGCAACTTCTCTCCCAGTCGGCAGGCTATAGCCCACACATGGGGTGCATGGTCCTTCTGAGGTTAACACTTCGACTTTGATGGCACTAACCATGTGAGGGCCTCAAATTTCGGATTCACTTGTAATTGTAGATCGTGTCACCACCTTGGTGAACTGACCACTAAAACCCGTGGAGCAACAGTTTTGGAAAAATCAGTTATTTTGGTTTTGTATGATTGGCCCATTCCGTCGTCGTTGGGTATCAGGGCTCCAGTGATGCTGGTTGAATTGTTGAGATGTGAAGTATGCGAGCCATCTTAATACATTGATCGAAAGGAATGGACATGGCTTCCCTCCACTGTACACAGCAACTTATAACTGAAGTCGATTTCAGGCACATATTTTTGTTTGATCATTTGCTGGTTCTGTGTAAAAAGCATAAGACGTATAAGTTCAAAGAAAGGATAACTGTCAATCTCATGGATATCGTCGACATCGAGGATAGCGATGGTGAGTGGTTGTTGTTTTAGTTACAATCTGGATTTTTTATCAGGAGCTCACACGGGGAGCGGACTGAGTACAAGATGAGTTCTTTGCAATGCTTTGAGCTTATTGTGGTAATCAGAAGGATGATTTTGTCGTGAACTATAATGTTTATCTTTTGTTAATTTTGTTATGTCTTTTATTTTT